GGATCCATTCATGAGACTTTTTGGTGCTCGCCATGGCGGTTGCATTCTCCCAGAGCTCCAGAGACACACACCAAAGCCTGCTGCTGGGAGGGGGTGTGATTGTCCACACCTACCCCAGAGCCCTTGCGAAGGGCTCCCAGCCATGAGGCGCTAGGAGAGCCCTTCCTACGGTGATTGCCCGGTGAAGGGGGGCTGTTCCATGCCCTGAAGATCCCGCCGTGGAGCTTCCCCGAGTGGAACTAGAGACGCACACCGGAACAAGCAATTAGTGGCCAAGTGACTGAGACTAAAAGCAATTTCATCATTGAAATGTGAGTCAAGTCTAAGTAAAAACACCAGAAAACTAGCCAAAAGCTCTCCCCTCTGGAAGCGGGGGGGGGGAGAGAATTCCCCCTTGACAAGAAAATAAGCAAACATTTTTCAGCAGAGAAAGGGGGGAGCAGGCTATCTAAACAAAGTGGGTGGAAATAAAAAGCTCATAAGAACTTACCAAGTTTTTTTAAGGACTTTGAGGACTTTGATAACTTTTCCAAAAAGTAAACATTCTCTAACATGGCACCTCCAAGGAGGGAGGAGAAAGATAAGCTACCGAAACTGAAGCCTCTTGCCGGAAGTGCCAGTCCAGCAAGTTCTGTCCCTAGACAGGACACAGTTACAGATCTCCAAAAGATGCTGAATGAGGCGTTGCACCCTTTGCTGGAACAAGTCATGTCATTGCACCAAAATTTTGACACTCAACAAAGAAATAAAATTTATGAAGGACATTCCATTTGAAATAAGAAAGAAAAGAAAGAAATTTAGAGACTTCACTTTATTCCTACAGAAAAACAACATCTCCTATAGCTGGATCATGCCTGAAGGCATAATCTTCAAATTTAAAGATAAAAAGGAAAGAATTGACTCTGTTGAAAAGGCATGTGAGTTTCTACAGCATTATAATCGTTCAGCAAGAGAAGATGAGGATGAAGGCAACAGCACGAATGGGAAGTGAAGAAGAAGGAGCAGTGGCATCTTCTGATGAGGACTCAGATTCTAAACTTGGGGCGGCAGCCCCAAAAACATTTGAGAAAGAAAAAGGACAAAAAATGAGTAATCACAGTCCCTAGAATCCGTTATAATACTTGTTAATCATTTCTTAGATTGCTTTTTAAGAAGACAGATGTGTTGGTGTTTGTGTGTTTATTATCTATGAAGACCATGTTTGTTGACCACATCCAATGAACTTTAACCGAACTTAGAGCTAAAAGCTAATTTCATAAGCATTATGTATGACCACCATCTCTTGGGTTTTTAGTGGTTTTTCTTTACTTTCTCCCATAGATTGTAGATTCCCCTCTCTAATTTCATTGTAGTTTAGAGAAAATGCGATAAAAAATCCCCTACGGGGGGCCATAAAAAAAGAAAAGAATGGACCCATTCATATGTAAGTCCTGCTATTGATTTCAAAGGGAATTTCTCCCAAGCAAGATTTTTGGCACCACTGTCTTGCAATCTGATGCCATGCACATTTACTCAAAAGGAAGTATCAGCATCAGCATCATTATCTGGCATTGTGTGTAGTATAGCTAAGAGATCCTAAGATTGTCTGACAGCCAGAAGTTCTAGTTTTTTAGGGTTATGCACCACTAGCTGGTAAGCTAGACTTGTTTTAAGGCAAGAGGTGTTTCAGAGGTGGTTTGCCATTGCCTACCTCTGTGTTATGACCTTGGTATTCCTTGGAGGTCACCCTTCCGAAAGCTAGCCAAGGCCGACCCTGCTTAGCTTCTGAGATCTGACAAGATTGGGCTAGCTTGAGCTATCCAGATCAGGGTCTTACAGATTTGAATATAACTTATTATAGCTGTGCACAGAATTGCACCTTAAAGTAAGTGAAACTAGTCTGCAAGTTCTTTCAAGAGGAAAAACAGAAAGACAAAGAATGGAGCCAAACTAATGATTTGGAAGAGGCATAAAAAAAGAGCCATAGGATCCAGTAATATTTATATCCTTTCTATTTTGTATTCAAGGTGGCTTACATCAAAGATCAAATCAAACAATACAAACAACATAAGACAATAAAGCAAGAGAGAAAATTTACAGGCAAATAACCATAAAACAGCAGCCATATAACGTAAGAAATAGCAACTTAAACACATACAACTGAAAGTAGGTATGACAACCCACAAAACTTTAAATAGCAAATGATAGCAGTGGATAAAATACTCACTAAAACTCCCTGACTTACAGAATAAATGTCTTCCTCCTGCCTAAAAGCTGGTAAGCCTGGTGGCAGATAAGCCTCTGTGGGGAGGAAGTTCTCCAGTCAGTGTGCCTACTTAAAAGGTCCTGTCTGTGGTGCTCACTCACCTTCCTTCTGTAAATAAGAACACAGAACAGGGAACATCTTAATGGGTAGGTGGGTTTGTACAGGAAAAGATGGGCTTTAGAGGTAAAAATAAGCAGTTTGAATTGTGCCTAGAAGCAAACTGGTAGCTATTGCTAATGCAATAAGAACTAGAACATAAGAAGAGCCCTGCTCGATCAGTCCAGTGGTCCATCTAGTCCAGCATCCTGTCTTACACAGTGGCCAACCGGTTCCTCTGGACAGCCAACAACAGGGCATAGAGGCCAAGGCTTTCCCTAATGTTGTCTTCTGACTTTGGGATTTAGAAGATCAGTGCCTCTGAATGTGGAGGTTCTCCTCGGTCACCATGGGTAGCCATCAATACACTTATCCTCCATCAATCTATCTAATCTCCTTTTAAAGCTGTTTATCCCTGTGGCCATCATTACATCCTCTGGCAGTCAATTCCACATTTTAATCACTCCATGTGTAAAGTAGTATTTCCCTTTGTCTGTCCTAGACCTACTGCTCATCAGCTTAATCGTACGCCCTCAAGTATTTTGCGAGAGGGATAAAAAATTTCCCTTTGTCAACTCTCTCCACCTCATGCATAATTTTATAAACCCACCTTAGTCATCTTTTTTCTAAACGGAAAAGTCCCAGACTCTTCAGCCTTTCCTCATAAGGAAGGTGCGCCAGCCTCCTAATCATCTTGGTTGCCCTCCTTTGCACTTTTCCCAGCTCTGCCATGGCCTTTCTGAGATACGGTGACCAGAAATGTACACAGTATTCCAAATGAGGTCGGACCATAGGATCTATACAAGGGCATTACAATATTGGCCATTTTATTCTCAACCCCAGTTTGGTGTAGTGGTTTGGTTGGCAGTTTGGTGTAGCGGTTAAGTGCGTGGACTCTAATCTGGGAGAACTGGGTTTGATTCCCCACTCCTCCACTCGCACCTGCTGGATGACCTTTGGCAAGCCATAGTTCTGTCAGAGCTGCTCTAGGGTGTCTGTTGTGGGGAGGGGGAAGGGAAAGGGAAAGGAGTTTGTAAACCGCTTTGAGACTCCTTTGGGTAGTGAAGGGCTGGGTATAAATCCAATCTCTTCTTCTTCTTCTTCTCTTCTTTCCTAATAATCCCTGACACAGTTTGCCTTTTTCACTATTGCAGCACATTGGGTTGACACTTTAATTGAGCTATCCACTATCCCCCCAAGATCTTTCCCCCTCTCAATGTCAGCAGGTTCCGACCTCATTAGCCTATACTTGCAGTTGGGATTTTGTGTCCCAATGTGCATTCAACTTACACTTACCAACACTGAACATTATTTGACACATTATCACCCACTCACCCCGTTTGTGGAGATCCTCTTGGAGCTCTTCAAAGTCACCCTTGGTTTGTACCATCCTGAGTAATTTTGTGTCAACTGCAAACTTGTTTGCCAGGGCTTTTGAGGTTGTTTGAACGGTGGCATCTTTTAATGGGGGAAGGTGAGAGCTGGGTTTGCTGTTTTATTTTTGGTTTTAACTGAAAATGTTTAAAAATATTATTGTAAGCCACCTGAACCTTGAAGAAAGGTAGGGTATGAATGTTCTCTCTCCCTCACACACACACACACACACTGATTCGCCATTCAGGTCCAAAAAAATGTGTATAGTTTTGAATTCTTAGAAATGCTGCATCTACCATTCTCTTAATCAGGAGTTCCACATAATGTGGGGGAGAGACTGCTAGTTTTGTGTAGCCATGACATCAAGAGTTCTGTGAAGGGATCTCCCACCGTTTTTTGAAGTAGAGCAACAGGGAGAGGCAAGGAGGATCGGGCTACCCCAACAGAAACCTATACTTGCAAGGGAAAACTACAGGCGTCCTACCGAGCATATTCTCAGGACCATTCTATCTTAACTAATGGAAGCCGGAATGTTCGGCTGTGGCAGTTGAGGGCTAAATCAGCCCATATTCCATATTTTGCCAAACCTCAGGCTGAAATGAAATTCCGTCCCTGACCTGCACACATTCCTTAGATTGGTTGCTGTACTCGGTACAAATCGTACGTGTACAGGCAGGCGATCAGGAATTTTGGAAACGCACAGTTCCCAAACACTACATGCGAATAAGCCCCGTGTTAAGCATCTGGGGCGGTGCTTGCCGCCGTCATCCCCCCCCCCCCTTGTGTGAAAAGGGCTACCCTGCAGATAACGTGGTGTCTCTGATGACTGTACCTGTATGCTTCCAAACACACTCATCATCTCAATTTGCAAACTTCAGCGGCATAGGAGGCGGGCTGCAAGGCTGCAGTCCACTGCACGTCCTCCCTGAACACGGATTTACTTCGGAAAAATGCACAGGATTTAGGGGTGTGCGCCTAAAAACGTACCCCGTGAAGAAGCCGTACGCTCTGTTGCTAATAAAACAGCACCAGAGACTGAAGAGGACACGGTAGGTTCCTGATCAATAACATCGAAAGCCGGGGAGAGCTCACCAAGTCAAACGACAGCTGTCTCCCCTGGCTCCGGGGCATCTGCATCCAGGCTGGGTGGCGCTCCCTCTTTTTGCAGGCAGGCAAGGCAAGGGTTAACCGTGCGCGGCGTCACTGGGCTGCCCCAGGGGGTTGGCCGTTGCTGCTGCTGGCTCCTCCCGGCCAGAACTCAAAGCAGCTGGAGCCGAGAAGCAAAGCCAAGCTGAGGCGAAGCCACATCGACTGCCTTTCGCACGCCACGCAAGGGGGACTAGTCTACCAACGCGGCGGTTCTTTGTCGCGCTTCTGTGGCAGGTAATCCGGGGTCGTTTCCCCCTCCGAGCTGGGGTTGGGTTGTGGGAGTCTGCGAGCTGCGCCTGAGGGCGGCTTTACTAGCAAAGAGATAGGGCAGGAGGCGATCGAGTGTGGATAAGGAACCGGTTTCACTAAAGGGGTTGGCCGCTCTTGCTTCCCCCCCCCCCCTCCTTTCGCGGGCTTCAGGAAGACGTCTCTCCTTTTTTCTTTTTCTCTCGTAGCGCTTCAGGAAAGGTTTCGGGGCTCTCCGATAGCTGTCGAGAGACTCTCTTTGCCTGGGAATGCTTTTGGCTACCCGGTAGTCCACCTCAATCTGGGCACCTCGACTGAACCGTGCGGGTGTTCCTTCCCCCCCCTCCCGTGCTCCCTACCCTGTAGCTGTTGGACCGGAGTGGCTGGCCGATTTCTTTCCCTTCTCAGGGGCTTCCCATGTGGCCTGCTGTGAGCCCTGTTGCTAAGAGCAGTTTGTGTGCTTTGAAATGGCTTGTGAGCGAGGGGGAGACGGACGGGGCCACATCCCCCATTTTGGAGAGCAACGCTAAAACGAAAGTTTTCCACCTACCTCCCACTGAATCTTTCTTTCTCGCTCTCTCCGTCGCGGTTCCTCTTTGAGACCCCCCCCCCCCCAAATTTGGCATTGCTGCTGGAAAATGGTCTGTGGTGTATTGCGGGGAAGGAAATATTGTGTGTGTAGTGGTGGGGAAAGCTTTGTGACTAGATCTGCTGCCTCTTTTGGTCAGAGTCCCCTTGCTCCTGTAACAGCTGCCAGACCTGACAAACCTGACTCAGTAGGTAGAGCTGATCCCAGCCTAGTGGTGCAATGCTGAGAAATGCTTCTTTGGAGAGTGAAAGGGACTTTCCGCATAGGGGTTGTTAGCCTACAAGGGGTGGGTGGAGGGGGAGGATCTCTGTGTATTTGGCAGCTGGAAACAAACTTTAGACTTTCTACATAACCAGAACAGAGGTAGTTTGGTGTAGTGGTTAAGTGCGTGGACTCCAATCTGGGAGAACCAGGTTTGATTCCCTACTCCTCCACTTGCACCTGGCTGGATGCCCTTGGGCAAGCCATAGTTCTGATAAGAGCAGTCCTTGAAAAAGAGCAGTTTCTGTCAAGAGCTCTCTCAGCCCCACCTACCTCACAGGGTGTCTGTTGTGGGGAGGGGAAGGGAAAGGAGTTTGTAAGCCGCTCTGAGACACCTTTGAGCAGTGAAGGGCGAGGTATAAATCCAATCTCCTCTTCTTATTTCCTTTTAATACTGCAGCTTTATGCTTAAATTGTGACTGTGATAACTGCAGTAGACTTTGCTGTTATAAAAGCACCTATTGCTGTAAAGCATGAGAAATGTGGCAAAGTGTGGGCTTCGTCGAAGCTAAATGGAAATGCATGCATCAGTCTGTACATGAGAGTATGAGTGTGCTAATAGTCAAGAGGGAAGCAGAGGGAAAGGTAATGCTGCATCTGTGTAAGTGCTAGGCAGTAGGATGAGATGGTGGTGTCTTCAGACTGCAGACTGTGGTAACTAATGCACAAGAGGGAAGGAGAACTCTGTTCATAAAGTGCAAGCAGAATGAGGACAGACTTCCTCAAAGCTTTTTTTCTCCTGGTGGGAGGAGAAATCCCCCCCAGTCACGGGTGGGGGGCTGTAGCAAGCTGTGTTAGAGGGACCCTTTCTCAGAACCGTGGAAATGAAAACTTAATTTTTCTCAGCACCTGCCAACTTGTAGTGTTCTAGTTAAAGGAAGCTTCCAAACAGTTTCTTGGGAGTTTCAATGCCAGTGATTCCTTGCGGCACTGTTAAAAATACAAATTGTGTGCCATTTTTGCTTTAGTGAAAGTGTGTGTGTAGCCATGAGAGATGGACGCATACACAAGGAGAAACCTGAGACTGCTAGGACTGTAATGGAAAAGGAGGGTCATGAATAGAGGTAAAGTCTGTAGTGGGTTCAGAAGGCTTTCTTGTGCTGGAATGTAACAGCTGCAGTCAATGTGCTGCCAAGTCTCTAGCATGGAGCTGTGTTATGGGCATGTAAACTCTGTCACATCATCCTTTATCATAGGGACTGAAGATGCCGAAGGCCAACTTAATGCATAGCTCTAGTGCCTTGACCACTGAGTGAAGGATCCTCTGTGGCAGTATCACAGCTTAATCTATACGGATGGTGCATTACTTTTCATCTGTCACAACAAAATATAGTTTGCTTCATCTGCCAGTCTGAGTTACTGATTGGACACTTCTGTAAAGCTTGGTAACAGGATTTCCCTTACAGTTCTGTACATGCTGTACTTGAGGGAAAAGAATAAATTGATTCTATCCCCCTGCTTTGGTGCCCTGTCCACGACTCTCAGAGAAATTCTCTTTTGAGATGCTTGACAAAGGGATTTTCATTCGTGGTTCCAGTCTGGGAAGGATCTTTTGTTAAAGCAAACTGATGCTTCAGAGTTCAGTTTTCTTTAAAGTTTGGTTGGTTGTCCTTGTGTTATCTGCTGGCTGGGGATGTGTTTTTTTTGGGGGGTAGCATAACGGGGCAGGGTGGTGCCACAGTCAGTAGATGAACCAGAGTCAATAGGATGTAGGCTTGGGGAAAGATACAGTGGTGGAAGAAGAAAAGGCCAGGTAAGGAGAAGGAACAGCAGACTTTAGTGGGCTGTTGCTTCTTCTGGTTCATACAGCTAGGATGATGCTGTATGCACTGGGCTATAATATCTTGTTTTTAAATGCTGGGTCAGTTACAGGCAAGAAACCAGCCTGGGAAATCTACAACTAATCCAGGATTTAGTTGTCAGTAAGAGAGCTAACCTGACACATGTCACTGAGACCTGGCTGGGGGAGGGGAAAGGAATTAACCTCTTCCAGTTATGCCACCCAAGGTACTAATTGATGCATTAGCATATGCCTGGTGGGCAGGAAGGGGGTGTCACTGGAGGCTATCAGGATTCTATTCCCCTGGCTCAGTGCCCTGTCCAGGACTCTGCTACTTCTGAGAGTGTGTTTGGGATTCTGTTGCTGTTTTGTTCTGTTGCCCACCCTGCTGCCCAGCTGGCTCCCTGCCTAAGCTGGTGGAGTTGGTCTTGGAGCTGGTGTTGGAGATTCCTAGGCTGGTTGTCTTGGGGAACTTCAGCATCCCTGTTGAGACTACCCTGCTGGGGGCAGCTCAGGATATCATGATCTCCATGATACCATGGGCCTGTCTCAGTCCTCAGACACTATACAGGTTACACTCTTGATCTGGTGTTCTTCTCTGAACAGGAGAAGGGTGATCTGAACGTTGAGAGGGGTAAAGAGTCCCTTTGTCTTGGAGAGATCACTACTTGCTGGGGTAGCCTGTCTCCACAGCGGTGGGGCACCAAATGTATCATCTGTCTCCCTCTATGAAGACTTGCCGCCCTGATATTAGTTTTCAGGACTCTGCCAGATATGATGCATCTCAAGGGTGAGACAGATTGATTGCTGATGGATTCAAAGGACTCTGATACTGTGGCATATGGTATACCATTTTCCAGAGCCCCAGGAAAGCAGTTGGCACCCAAGCATCTGATAGCTGCATTAGAGGCAGTCAGGAGCTATCAGAAGAACTAAACAGAGCTCCTGGCTGCTGGGAAGGGAAAGGAACAGGCAGATTCCTGTCCCTGCTTGCAAAGGGGGGGGGTATAGCAATTGTGGGAGACCCAGAGACCCTGGTGTTTGCGTTGGGGGAAGGCTTGGAAGATGCAGAGGTATGATGCAATAGCATGTGCCCTCATGTCAGTTAAGGATTTTTGTAATTATTCAGTGTTCAATTATTATATTGTCAAATTGCAAGCATTGTTTGCACGCATTGCAGTTTCCATTTTCATTGGAATTTGCTATACTAACTGCAACCCCCTATCTTTGTGTAGTTTGAGTTTTGGGGCATCATGTCGCAATTAAACCATAGGTTGACTTTTTCTGAAGAAGAAAGATGTAGGATATTAGGCAATGTACCAGGCTTGAAGAGAGGAGATAGGAATCCATCAAATTGGTCACAATTTGATTTTTTAAGTAAAAAGGAAATTAGAATGACACTACATGCACCTTCCCTTACTGAGTATTGTAATTCTGATCTAATCCCTAGAGGGTTAAGGTTACAGAAGGGGCCTGCCATGTTTCTTCATAAAGAAGAATTCAAGAACTAATGGATTGCGATCCCAAACAAGTGTTCTTATGATCTCATGTGCTTGATTATTGACCAGGCAACACAGGAGGCTGAACTTATGAAAAAAGAAATTAAAGAAATGGAAGATAGGTTTAAAGGGTCTTTGAGCCCGGAAGTATTTGAGAGTAAGCTGAAAGAATTGGAGGAGGATTTAAAAGCCTATGAGAATAGGACGAGACCAAGCTTAAGAAGTTTGAAAGAGACAACAGGGACTATGCATTGAACAGAGTGTACAAGTGGTGTTCCCCCAGTGCAAATCCAGTTAAACGGGTGTCTTGAGCGGACTCTCTAACCTGGTCTCAGAAATGGAGACTACAGAGGCAGAAGACTCTGCGACAACTTCTGGGGAGGAAGGGTCTGTGGGGAGACCTTTTTTAGACAGACGTACAAAGAACAGGGCAAGAGAGAATCTCTTGTACAACCAATCCAAATGGGGTAAGAAGATAACTTAGTGGTTAATTTGTCCACCATGAGGTTTACTAGAGAAGTAACAGATGTGTTGAATTTCGGACCAGGATTTGTGTTTACCCCTAAGTATAATGCATTCCAAATGAGAATAGATGTATTTAAGCTAATAAGGACTCTAAAATTAAAATGTCTTTTTTGAGGAATCAAATTTTGTAGACATCAATCCCTGTAGAAATAAGTCTCGGTTTATTCCACCAGTTTACCATCCTTCTATTATTGTGTTCGAGAGGCAGGTGATGGAGGATATAAGCCGTTTAGAACAGCACCATTCCCCTCTTACATATAATTTGACAAAAGTACAAATGAATATTTTGAAGGAAATATTAGGACATCAAGGGATCGTTATAAAAATGCTGATA